GGTCAAGAAAGAGCAAACGCGCACAGCGGTCGGAGGAGCTAACACGGTGCCTCTTTGAACTAGTCGCTACAAATCTCGTGCTCGCGGCTGTTCGCAGTGCCGCACTATACATTTGAATCAATGTGAACTCTTTTCTTTAGAAGATACAATTCAAAATGCTAAGTGAATAGCAGTAGAACTAATCCAGGGAAGTACTGCCACCTTACTCACTTCTGCCGTCAAGCAGTAATGTCAGCATTACTGTGTTCCGGTTTTGAAGAGTAAGTAGGGTGCTGGTGAAATTACAGGCACATGAGACTTGTCTACTTAAATTTCAGATCTTTGTGATGTAAAGCTAAGTGGCACTGCAACTGTTACGGACAGGCGTGTACTTTACCATCAGGCGCAAGACTTGTTCAACCCGTCACTTGATATTATAAAAAAAAGTACTTTGCACCCAAAATGCTCCTCCGACCGCAGCTCTTTCAGTGTGACTTGACCCTAAAATGTACTGAACAAAATTACATACATTCTTCAAGCCCAAGCAAGTATGTCCTCAGTTTTATATGAAAGACTTATTTTTCTAGACAGTCTATGGTCATGTAGATATCATAATAATGAAATTATTTTCATTTTAATAATAGTCTGGATCTGAATCACTACAAATTATGCTAGGGATGCACATTACGATGCGATTTTTATGAAGATCGATTCAATTCCAAACGATCAAGCGATTTTTTGAATCGATTCATTTGAATACGATTTTCAAGCGAATCGATTCATAATTACGGTCATCGAGTATACATATAACTAGAAATAGAGACCAAATAAGGGCCATACGTTCCTGGTATCTCATCAGTGATACATCACTTATAAATATCAACACTCGTTTGCACTGAAATATAGACAGCGCCAACAACTGACCTGTGTGTACGTCTCAGTACATTCCAAAACTATTCTGTGTTTATTGTAATAAAGATAATATCTCTAACAATGGGGGCTATTCCATTCGGTGGTGTGAAAAAACAGCAAAACATCTAATTACAAAACCACTACAAAACAAATGGAATCACATTTCGTCGTTAATTAAATATTAAATATGGAATTTTTCAATATTAGTCCATTATTGCAAAGCTCAAGGTAAACTGATCGATTTGAAGTGAAACAATTGACGACACCCGTCAATTGTTTCGAATTTGGGCTGGCCAATCGGAGCGCAGTTCTCACCGTAATGATTTGGCAGAATAGTTTTCAAACAAATTAAATGACATTTCGTCACAATTTCTGGTTATGTACTCGATGTAATTTCGCCATCGTTTTCGTTCAGTATATTGAACATTTGACTGATATCAACTATGAAATATGGAAAATCTTAGACTATGGATTACTTTATATATTTTTTTTTCATCCTTTAGGGGAGAAATACGAGAAAAATATTTATCGTTAGGCGTCAGCTTTCCTGGCGTTGTTTTTTGTTTGTGATCGTTTTTAGTGAAACTCACACGAGATTAGCAACGTTAGATAAGTCCTCTGATTAAGCTTTCTAACAGATTGACTGCATGTTTGCAGTTAAAGGGCGTTATGAGTCAACCGTGACCATGGGACCTGTAAAGGGCCCGAAACGTCGGTTTGTTTGAAAAAACAAATATACGCGATTTAAATCCGGAACAATAGTTTCATTCCTTTTGTATATGTTGTTACGTAATATTAATAATAGTTAACATGCTAACTAATAGAAATAAGTATTCATGTTTTGAAAATATATTGACTAACCATCATGCTATAAGCACCGTTTTGGATAGCTAAGATACAAGTAAGCAATTTTACTTAGTTTAGGTATCACCTAGATTAACTTGCGCTACGAACCTTAATTACATTTATGTAAACATACAATAATATCACTGTTTGCGATAGTCTGGCGCATATATGTAAAAAAAGGCTATTTAATAAGATTCACGTATTCAAGTTAAATTTTTGTACAGAATATAAATTTATCTTTATATTTAACTGTTGCTTATTAATCTATGATTTTGAAGTGCTGTCTCTTTAACGCATACCAGTGAGACAGCTTGTGTATGGAATCTAGTACATAGATATCGTTGGTCTTGACGATTTATTATTAGCTTCCAAATAGTGACTTTATTGCCTTTCTTGAAGTAGGTACACTGTTTTGTAACTGGGTTATTTTTTAATTTTAATGATGTTATTTTATAAAAAAAAGAATATATCATAATCGTCGAGTATATAACCAGAAATAGAGACGAAATTTCATTTAATTTGTTTGAAAAGTGTTCTGCCAAATCATTACGGTGACTACTGCGCTCCGATTGGCCAGCCCGAATTCGAAACAAATTAAGGGTATCGTCAATTGTTTTACTTCAAATCGACGAGTTTATTGAGCTTTGCTATATTGGACGAAAATTGAAAAATTACATGTTTAATATTTAATTACCGATGAAATATGCTTCAGTTTGTTTTGTAATTAGATGTTTTCCTGTTTTTCCCACGCCACAATAAGTACAGAATGTTTTTGGAATATATGGAGACGTACACATAGGTCAGTTGTTGGCTCTGTACTTATTTCTGCTTTCTAATGTGTGACTTCAGTGCAAACGAGAGTTAATATTTAAAAGTGATATAAGGCCCATTTGCCTGATGAGGTGACAGGGATGGATTATCTTATTTCGTCTCTATTTCTGGTTATATACTCGATGATCAAAATGAATGATTGAAGTCCACATATTTGAAGCTTTTACCTTTTATCCGCCATTAAAAGCAGAAAAACGTAATAATCGTTATCGAAACAAATTGAAATTACCTTTCTCAAAATTAAAATTGTATTCATTCGCTCCTCACCCAATGCTAATTAAAATATAAACCATGTCCCAAATAGTATAAAATGTATCAACGATTCCAAGGCTTTCGAAAAGTAACTTAAATGTTTTGTAATTAATAAGAGTTATTATAACTTATCATATCTTTATATTTATAATTAATTTGATATTAAATAATTTAGTACCAAATAATAATAATGGATAATTATAATTTTTACGCAAATATTCATTAATAAGTACTATACAATTATTTTTAATGGAAACAAATAATGTGTAAAATATATTGATGAATTATTTTTTTATATTGGCAGTGTATTGCGTAATAAATAAATAGTCTATTTTTTTAGATATATACATAGTTAATGTAATATTATTATGCAATGAGGCTAGTAAAGCGTGACTCAATTAACAAACATCCTTACAGGGCAACACATGTACGTACTATAATTTTCAAAATGTTGTTAACACCTTATTATCATGTGACTACGCAATAAATTATTATGAACAGCAAAAGTGCGTGGAAGAAACAGGCCCAGTTTAATTCTTGAAGCTGTGTGCCACGTGGTAGATGCCTGCTGATTTTCAACCTGGCCTAGTTGACTCTTTTGTCATTCTCAACAGAGGCCAATAAAATTTAATTTAAAAACAAAGTAGTGATCTTTATTAAACGATATGATGATAGACCCCTTTACACAGAAACTATCTTGCGTGATCGTGCATACAGGATTGCGCGCTGCAAAGCCTGCACGCGCAACCGCGCGCAATTGACTGTGTGAAGATTTTTAAGCTAACGTTCCTTCGCGCGCGATTGCTCGTGTTCGTTTTTATTACAACGGAAGAACGTCTGTGTAAAAGGCAACCTTGTGTAAAAATGAGAAACAGTTCTTGCACTATTCGTTTATTCGTATTTTCAAACCAAAAATCTACAACAGAACTGTACATCTTACCAATATTACACGATTTTTAATAACTACCCCTACCTTACGGGCGGGTGTACACGTTGAGAAATTCAACGTGTCTGCTACAGAAAAGATGATAATGGTCTTGTACACGACAAAAACTTTGTCGGATCTAGCCACGAAAACATGTCGTGTCTGTTGCAGACGAGAAAATGATGAGTGTGTACACGATACGAATACTTTCGGACAGACGTGTGTAGGGTAAAATGTGTCAGTGCATTGCATTATTAGTCTTCCAGGTAGCTGTCGTTTTACTACCGACTGTGGAAAGAAATATGTTGTTGTATATGTTGACTAGTAAGCAACATCCGTCCACGCGCATAAACTTTCGTTTACTCGCAATGCACCCATATACAATAGCGGCACGCGCGTCGTGTCGGGGTTAGACAAGACTTTTTTTTTGTCCGGCGCAGAGGCAGTATACACAGTTCGTGTGTAGAAACGACACGAATTCTTGCATAGGCCCGGCGACTTTTCTTAACGAGTACTACCTCACTATTCAAAAATAAAGCGACAAATCAAATCCTATACTCAACACTGATTAGACTAAACATTTGTATAGAAAATGTAACTATTATTCAAATAAATATACGTGATTTAAATCCGGAATAATACCTATGTGTAACAATCGCGAAAACCTAAGAACTCGATATAAATATTTGTACTTTAAAAACACAGTTAAATTTACTTATAGTAATAAGGATAATAGGTATATAATTATCTAGAATGTGCAGTTAATGAACAATAAAAACCAGGCTGTATAATTAAGTTCCTAAACATTGACCTACCAATGTCAATGTTCCTAAACGTTACTATTTAACATCACGTGGCTACTTAACTCCTGTACTCATGATTTCTTCAAATCCACAAGTGTACTCATTATCTTTAACATTATAATTATTGTAAATACATTGTACGATTAAAATTATAAAATGCCAACACTCGGAACGCGCTATTGCGCGCGCGACTGATGAGCGTACGCGCGGTTTTTTCTTTTCCTTCCAACATCTCTACACGCATGCTCAATCGCGCACGATTGGCTGTATCACGCGCGATAAAGGCTTTATGTAAAGCCCGCTATTGCCGACTAGGTTGAATTTTGGGTCAGGTGTGGCGCAAAATATAACTTTTCCGTCTTTATTTGTTCAGAAGTCTTTGAAGCAAGGCAATTATAGCTTTATTCCTTAGAGTAAAATGTATAAGAGTTTAAATGATTCTCCTGCACCAGGTCGAGTAGAATGAGTCGCATGCGCGTGCGAGTATGTTCAAGACACACAGACAGAGGCGGGCAGGTAGTAAGGATACAGGAAGTAATGAAGCATCCTGAATGGAGCGTCAGGAAGAACCCAGACTGTGATATTGCGCTGTTCCTCGTTGATAAGAATATCAGGTAACCATTACTGTTACTACATAGAATCCTCCGACTTTGGTCATAAAGCGTGAAACAATCAGAGAGCGGGTGTGCGTCGGGCGCGGGTCGGGCGGCTCTAATTCCGAGTATTTAAGCGTGTCCATATAAATGCACGAAATTAGAGATGGGTCATGGATAAATATCATTGGGATAAATACTCAGTATAAATATCTGTTTTCAAATTCAAATTCAAATTTCTTTATTGCGTATCATGTTGTACAAATGTAGTTGTTAAAAATAATGTTGTGATGAACCAAAACATGAACCCTGCAAGGGCACTGCAATCTTAAAATTATTTTAATTTATTAACAAGCAAATAATTTTATAACATTGATCCTTATAGAATTGAAATAAAATTTAAATTACAAAATAATTAAATACAATAACATTTGGCAAATTTCACAAATTAAATAAGTTATAAAATTAGAATTAAATTAGGTATACGAAAAATGATTAAATTTTGACAAATAATAAACTTTAAATAAAATTTGGAAAAAAAACGATCACAATCGTCAACACAGATAAAATAATAATCTACATTAATTATTTAAATATTCCTGAAGCGAATAGAAACATTTTTTAATGAGGTACTACTCTTTTAACGTTTTTTTAAATTTGATTACATTTCCTTCTTCCTTAATATTTTTTGTTTTTACTCGATATTTGTACAAAAACGTGGATAAACACTTTTAATCGTGGTTTATGACCAAACATGACTTTATTTAGTACGCTGTAGACCCCAAGACCATAAAGTTGGGTGGGTTACAGTTAATTTGATAAGTTTCTGTCAATCGAATTTTTTATACCACTCGACTCGAAAAACTTAGGTAGGACAGTATTGTTACATAAAAGAATGGCAAAAACGTAATTATTTAATAAAAAAAACTAATTCTAATGAATTTTATTATAAAAAACACAAAAAATAATTATCCATGTTTTAGGATAAATATCCGTTTTACTCAGTAAAAACGGATATTTATCCTTAGACCGATATTTATCGGGTAAAAACCCATCTCTACACGGAATTACATCCACCGTGCTCCCGACCCGACACGCGCCCGCAGTCAATATATTTCATGCTCAGATCTTTGCGATTTAAAGCTCTGGGTGGCATTGCAACTGTTATGGACAGGCGTGTAGCTTACCATCAGGCGCACGACTTGTTCGTCCCGTCACTTGATATTATAAAAAAAAATCTCAGAGGTAAGAACGACAGCCGAGCTGCTTTTTGGGCTAGCAGTCTGTTTCTGGATGGTTTGCAAATTAATGCCACGACGCTAGTATTCGCAATGAATGTCTAAGATGATTTTCGATCATCCAGATTATTTCGCTACAAACTGGTGTGAACCCCGCAAATGTAGATTCTTAATAAGGACTGTTTTCAGATTTTCAGATGCATGTCACGGGCTAGATTTGCCGAACCGTGTCATGATGCCGCCCTTCTACGACGCTTGGATCACCAGCTGGGGAGCTGACAGGGTAACGCATTTAAAAAAAATGGGCTATACTTAGTACTCTTATACTTTTTTTATTTATTAGTTACAAATATAAATATTAGACAACATCGCATACGTTGCTCTGATTCCAAAGTAAATAACTAAAGCACTTGTGTTATGGAAATCGGAAACAACGACGGTAGATACCGCAAACACCCAAACCCGATGCAATATTTATTTATTTATTTATTTGTTTATTTGCAAACAAAAATATAGAAAAGTTAGACCGGACAAAAGTGATAAACATAATTTTTCTTATAATTATTAATACAAAGATCGAACACTCAGAAAAGATTCCTTCGATCCGGCCGGATTCGAAACGACGTCTTCTAGCTTACCGTGCCAGACGCTATACCAACTAAGCCACGGAACGAACCAGCGGACCTTACGAATTTTTCTATGTGCTTGCGTCGTGTCTTTGTATTTGGTTTTTTCAACGACTTTTTAGTCGTAGCGCCATCTATGAGAAATCTATGAAAGATTTATCACCCAGTTAGTACCTTTACAGTTACCAGTCCTGGCGAGAGATGTCGCTATTCTCTGTATTTTAAATTTTTATTAAATTGATATTCAATTGTTTTTTATGAAATTACTCCACTAGTTTGTTATAATTATTAATACAAAGATCGAACACTCAGAAAAATTCCTTCGATCCGGCCGGATTCATTATACCAACTAAGCTTTGCTTTGCATAAGCAAAGTATAGCGCCCTAACACGGTAAGCTTGAAGACGTCGGTTCGAATCCGGCCGGATCGAAGGAATTTTTTCTGAGTGTTAGATCTTTGTATTAATAATTATAATTTTACTTTCCACTCTTAAACCTAAACAGATTGTTATGAGTGTTGTAACTTGTCTAACAATAATATCTAGCATAACATTTTTTTCAAGTAAACGTAATACCGCGTCGCGTCCGATCGGCTAAACTATGAACCTTCTTCGACGTGCAAGTTTCATCACGACATTTTTCTTCACCTTTCGGCTCATGGTAAATTTCAAATTAAATTTCGTGAGTCGTTTTCGATCCTGGATTCGAACCCACGACCTCTGCTTAAGAGGCGGCATAACCATTGGGCCACCACTTTTTTTTTTTATTTGACGGGGGGGGAAATCTTTATGGATACCCCTGAGCCCAGGGAGACTCAGGGGTTATGTGGGGACTCTCCCTCCAGGCTGGAGGGCCTACCCCACTAAAACCCCCCCGGGTTTCCCTCTCGCCGGTTGAGTCGGCACCGTGGGATCAGTGAACATTCACCACGACGCCGCCCGGCCTAGTTTACGCCAGGGTTCCCGCGCCAACGGAGGGGCGAGTCGGTTGTCCTCCGACCCGCCCCCCAGACGAGTGAGGCCGTGCAATGCAGGCTCCGGAGTCCCTGTCCAGAGCCCGCTGGTCTCACTAGGGAATCAGGCGAGCAGCGAACTGCCTTCGCCTTCTCCCCGTACGTCTGCGCCGGAGCGGGTGCGCATCCGCCGCGTCCTCGCGCACCCGCTCCGCGGCCTCCTTTTGCGACATAACCTCTGCGCAAAAGGAGGCCACCGCCTCCCAGGACTCCTCGCTATCGAGCATGGCGGCAACCACACTCGGTAGCGAGAGGTCCTGCCCTACAGTCCCCGTCAGAGTGCGGCGCTGCTCATCCCACCGGCTACACACCTCTAGGGTGTGCTGCGCAGTGTCATCCGCAGCGCCGCACTCGTGGCACGACGGGGACGGTTCCCTCCTCGCCACCTTGTGCAGGTAGTGACCGAAGCAGCCGTGTCCGGTCAGCACCTGCACAAGGTGGTACGACAGTGGCCCGTGGGACCGGTTTACACACTCACCATTAGGCCACCACTGCTTTTTTTATAAATAATACAATTGAAGTATTGGGAACAACAAGGGCGCTCGGCAACCAAAGTCCATTTTGATGTTATTGCATCAAAACATGTAAAACACTATGTAGTATCTCGTGCTTAGAAATATGGAAAAAATAAATAGTCTAGGATCTCGTGACAAAAACTCATTTTGATCTCCCTTCTAGATGGCGTAAGTTTCATTCTTTTATAAGTTGGCACTCCGGCCATGTGGCATCGATTATAAATGTGCGTTTGAATTTCGGACTCAAAAACTTATTCCAATGTAAAAAAAGTCTGAAACGAGCGACTTCATCCTCAACATGAAGCATCTAGGAGGCCAGTGAGACCTGCTGAAGATGATAATGTCGATTCATTTTAATACAGTGGATTTAATGAATAATTAAAAATACGTTTAAATTTTTTCAATGTAACTTTTAAATAAGACTGATTCACATTTTATTTCCTCGAAAACCAATAATAAAACAAACGCCTTACTCTTATGTTTTAAACTGATATCGAAAGTACGTTCCCTAATGAGTAATCGACATCAATAACTTTTTAGAAATAAAACTAGAAATATCCAAAATTTTAACATTTAACGCTCCCATACATTTAATATTACATTCGTAGAAGCTTTAATTATCCTAGTGTAAGAGGTAACAATAAGTTAACAGATGACAAAACTGATGCAAATAATGTAATAAAACTATCTTTTAATTGAATATAAATATAATGGCATAGTCAATTATTTGGTCAAGTGTGAGTGGTCCATAGAAATGAGTAAAATGGTATGCAAGAAGACGTCGGTTCGAATCCGACCGGATCGAAGGAATTTTTTCTGAGTGTTTTTTCCGAGTGTTCGATCTTTGTATTAATAATTATAACAAACTAATGGAGTAATTTCACAAAAAATAATTGAATATCAATTCAATAAAAATTAAATTAATATAGTGAATAGCGACATCTCTCGCCAGGACTGATAGCTGTAAAGGTACTAACTGGGTAATAAATCTGTCATAGATTTCTCATAGATGGCGCTACGACTAAAAAGTCGTTGAAAGACCAAGTACAAAGACACGATGCAAGCACATAGAAAAATTCGTGAGGTCCGTTGGTTCGTTCCGTGACTTAGTTGGTATAGCGTCTGGCACGGTATGCAAGAAGACGTCGGTTCGAATCCGACCGGATCGAAGGAATTTTTTCTGAGTGTTCGATCTTTGTATTAATAATTATAACAGACTAGTGGAGTAATTTCACAAAAAATAATTGAATATCAATTCAATAAAAATTTAATGAATAAAATTGATCAAACTTTTAGAATATTTTTTTTAAACTAAAGCCTCTCTAAGAAAGCTACATTAAAAGTATGGGAGCGTTTAATGTTAAAATTCTGGATATTTCTAGTTTTATTTTTTTAATTTACTGATGTCGATTTATTAATTGGGTACCGTACTTTCCATATCAGTTTAAAGCTTTTCAATGTCTCTTATATTTATGGAATAATGGACTGGGCACACTTAACGATTACACCCTGTATACGTTTGTACGCATTTAAATGTTTTCTATAATTTATGTGATTCATTTTTCAATTTTATATTTCAGCGTGATGGCATATTCGAGCGGCGCCCTATGTCAATGCAAGTCTATCATGCCCGTTTGATAGACCGCGAAAAATGCAACAACGCTACAATGCGTTTCGGTGTCGCCGTCACTGAAAACTTCATCTGCTTTAGTCAAGTTGGGCAGAGGGGACCGTGTACTGTGAGTACAATAATTGTGACGTTTTTTATTAAAAAAAAAACCGACATCAAAAAGAAAAAGAAGAGAAGTTTGTGGAATTAGAATAATAATAAGACCGCGCGTGTGCGGGTCATAGCCCCGCATTAGGGACCCAAACTCACAAGAGAAATAAATGTAGACTATACAAATATTTCTCCCGGCACGGGAATCGAAACCGGGACCTCTGCGTGACAGTGCAGTATGATAACCGTTCAGCCACCGAGGCAGTTTGTGGCAGTTTGAACAGGCTCTGGTGTATGTAAGTAGTATCTGGTGGCTATAGTTTGTAGTCTATATTTTATAATATTTATATATCGTTATCGTTATCGTTATCGAAAAAAACAGTTACGGTGACAAAAAGTAATATCTATAAATTCTCGATTCGAGCCGCATTGCGACGTCAACTAAATAATGCTATACATAAAATTTCCAATTTATAGACAGGACACTTTTTGTTTTTTTTTTATTATCTATCAACTTACGTTAATAGCGTAAAAAACTTTATAATAAAAGTATAGAAGAAGTGGTGTGGTGACGGCAGAAACTTGAGATGACCTACAGTGAGATAGCAGTGCGTGAAATCGGGCTGTGGAAGACGAAATAATTTTTATTTTAATTTTATGTGTAATTCTATTTAATTCTTGTTATCTACGGAACTCAAACCCAAACTAAAATAATCTTGTTTGATGACAATAAATAACGGGACGAAGTCAGACATCTGGCTGTAAGGGACACGCCTGTCCCTTACAGTTGCAGTGCCACTCAGAGCTTGAAAACTACCCAAAAACTTTAAAGGTTTTATATAGCTTCTGCGTGCATGACAAAAACTCAAAGTAGTGACACGTCTAGCTCTTGCAGGAGGACATGATCTATATATTTGAAATAAATATTGCAAATGATAAATGTGTACAAATGCTTATTTTCAAAGAGAAACCCCTGGAGTTTCTTGCTCATTCTCCTCAAGGGAATCTGCCTTACGAATGAACAATAGAGGGTAATCAATATGACAATTTCAATATGTAATTTACTTACCTATATGAAATAATGTAGTTACACTATAGCGCCTTGTGAAAGCACCTTGCCTATTTCTGCTTCTGGTGAAATTACAAGCACATGGAACTTGTTAAAACAACCGCAAACAACTCAAAAGTTCACGGAATTGTACTTGCCATTATTTTATTGAAACCGGATTTTATTACTTCCCATGTTTTTTTATTGAAACCGGATTCATCCCCTAGTTTGTCACCCTTAGAGGTAGAATATTTCATCATCAAACTTAAATGAAACCAATACTGAGGTACCCTTTCCAACAAAAATTGAATCATTGAAATCGGCTCACAAATGGAGTAATGGCTTTCAATACACTCAAAAGAAAACGCTTCTAAATATTGTATGAAATTTAGTGGTCGCCAGAGATGGGCAAGCACCTAATTTTAACCCGGCGCTTTATTAACTCCGAGTACTAATCGGATTAAAACCCATTAACGCCCTATATCAAAGGCAAAAACTATTTACAACTAAATATTACAAAATCGAGTTTTGTCCTAATGCACAGTGTGTTATTTTACTTTAGTTGTGGACATCCTCGTGTTATGTTCGATTTCAATAAGTTGAATCCTAATAAATTGTACTAAGAAACACCCGTTTAGACATTTACTTTTATAATGGAGATACAATTTTTTTTTTCGAAAGGTCACTGAATTTCAAGAAAAATGTTTTTGCCTCTATTTCCCGAAATATGTGAAACTTCTCTTTGAAAAAAAAAAAAATTGATTGCCGATTTAAACTTTATAAAATGTGAAAATCGTAAGTCCTTAAGCGCACAAAAAAGCGAGAAAAAAAATTGTTAATTTTAAAAATATATTTATATTAAATTACCCTACCAAATTAGCATTTTTAATGTATCTATCGAATAAAGAAAAAACAATCGTTAATCTCGGAAGACCTCGGAGGTACCGCGTTTCTAAGGTTTTTTAGATTTCTATCCAAATAGGGTTCTCACAAAATATATAAATTATACGGCATATCTCCCTCGCACCTTTAGATTATTTTACAGTTATCTCTTTCTATCTATCGGTGCACCCAATACAAAAGCGCATTCCATGTTAGCAAGGTACCAAGTTTTAGGTACGGACGACGGCACATCAGACTAGACATTTTTGTTCGAAAAAATTGTATTGTAATTATAAAATGTACTGAAAATGTAAAAAATGACATGAAAATAAGACAAACAATTGTGATTAAACAAAAGAAACAAGAACATACTGACATAATTGCGCCCGCGCATGAAATTAAAATAAACGACCTGTTGACACTTCAATCATACTTAAATACTAAAATGTTTAAAATACATTTAAACAAAATAAATAACTACATATATTAGAATAAGTATTTCTCTAGTATTCATAACAAGTAGTAGTCACAAAATAATACAAAATTATATTGGCAACGACTTTAGAAAAGGCCCTGGAATGCATTTTCTTATCAAATTTCATTACTTCAACAACTCTAATTTTAGAGTCCTTGCCTGCAAAGGCTCTTACTACACGCTAATTCAAAGAGACTAGATAATCGTTTGACCACGCCTGCCAAAAATGCTGCCTGAATTTTTCAATGGACCTCCAAAACTCGTGAGTTTGGGTGTAATTTATGGCTGTCTATGTGTGTGTCCATGGCACCCGCGACACAGGGTTTCCCTAGTGCGGGGCTATGTTGAGTGTGTGCGTTATTATTATTATTATTAAAACTTTAAGTGGTTATTAGGAACATTCAATAAAGATGGTTGTGGAAATGAAGTTAATGGACAACCTATTAGAAGATGTCCAGGCGTCAAAACACTGAAATCTGATGGATCATTTGTCAACGGACAAATAGGGCGCGAATTTAAAATCGCTTAAATTTCAATAGTCAATGTAACTAATTGTTCAAATGCAAATAACTTAGCACCTATTATCCACCCTGGTAAGGACTGTAAACAGGAATGTAATGAAATTGAATGCCCTTGGTGGAAGTGTACAGTAATTGTCCTTTGAAATGACACTCATCATGCCCGAAAAATGGCCTCTGTAATATATTGTGCCACTTTAGAATCGGAAGGTAGGGTCACTTCCGCTGTATACCAGTCCTCTCGAAGAAAATAAAATTAAGAATTGAGTAAAGTAAGATATGAATATATAATATTGCGCTTTGCAGACAGGATAAATGTTCAGTGACAACCCTAACACAAAATTTAAAAATTCAATATTTCTGAACTCTTCTGTTTGTCGCATCTGGTTTTTTTTGTGGTAGTACTTATTACTATAATTAAAAAGTCCGGGTTGAAAAAAAAATGCTAATATGTAGAAATTCTTCAGAAAAAAAAAACGAAAAAATAAAAAAAAATTAATTCTGGTCTAGGAAAGCTTGATATTTTTTATTTTTTGGATTTACTGGTGCTTTTAGTACTTTTCTATTAACATGAAATATTTAAAGAAAAATCATTAACAGGAAAGGAAATAATCTGATTTTATGGTTTTTATGGATTTTTCTCGATTTTCTAAGTTTCTCTAAACTATGATAGATACAGCGTGGAGAGTTTCATTACGAACTTTGTAATATTATCTTTCTAAAAGAACACATAAAACGAGGATGTCCGCAACTAAGGTAAAATAACACACTGTAAAATGGAACGATATTATTACAAAATTATTATTGTTTGCTTACGTATTTTGCCTTTCTATTGAATCGATTCGCTTGAAAATTGCATTCAAATTAATCGATACAAAAACTCGTTATCGTATACATTTAAATCGATTTTCATAAGTATCGTAATGTGCATCCCTAGTAGTAAGTGAGAGTTCACTGGATTGCAAGATGGGCATTGTGTGGAGTTGCTTCCTTTTCGTCTAAAAGAAAGATTTTTTACATCGAAATTTCTAATAAGTAAGGAATAATAACAAATTCCATATTATTTTATGTGTATGTTTTCACAATTTGGGCTAAACTTGGTTAAAACCTGGGCAGGTTGTTTAGGTTTTAACCCACTGCCCATCTCTGATGGTGGCGCTTCTTTAAGCATCTAATTTGAAAACGCCCTAAAGCTCTTGAGTGACACTGCAATGGTTATGTACAGGCGTGTTGCTTACTATCAGGCGCGTGACTTGTTCGTCCTTTCAATTGACGTAATTAAAAAAAATCTGTATATTTATTGCAGAGGGATACTGGGGCTCCTGCGGTGAGTGATGGCGTTCTTTGGGGCCTGGCTTCATGGGGCTTAAGGAAATTGTAAGTAAATCATATACAAAATCCCAAAAAGGGGTTTTCCCTTACATTATATTTTTATGTGAATTCATTTCAGTAGATAGATAATAATAATGCTTTCATCACACGTAACTATAGTAGGATTGCATGCAGACTCTCTGACTATAATGCCCCAAATAAAACTCTTGGGGCCTTTTTTCTTCTCATTACCAAACATGGCTGTATTGAAAAGAAAAAAGGACCGATAGTAATTTAATCTTAATACATTTAATTATGTTATTACAATTATAGCATGCGGTGTTTGCCTGTAGTTAACTGTTGCACTTAGCTTTAAGGCAATATTGTCTTTCCTAGTTGTAGTCTTAAGCTCAACTCACACTGGCGCAGCGTCGAAGCGTCGCGACGCGTCATGTTTTGCGTAGCATATTCATGTCTATTTTCCCATTATTAAGGTACAAATTTGTGTTATGCAAATATGGCATCGCACGTCGACGCGCGACGGCGCTTGATTAAGGTCGAACGGTTTCGCGCGTCGTTGTACGTTACACAATGAAATCCGGGTGCGCATTAACGTCGGCCGACGACTCTCGTCGCCAAGCGTTGTAGTTGAAAACCAGGACGCGACGCGACGCTTCGACTCTGCGCCAGTGTGAGTTGAGCCTTATTGTAAGCAGTTGTTGGTGAACGAATAAAATAATAATAATTGCAGAGAGTGGGTGGAAAAATTAACTGCATGATAAAAATATTCAGCACAAGGGTAGCTCGCTGCGCAGCTAGCAAATTAAGTTACTAGTAGCAGTAGACCTCCTTGTGAAAGAGTCCTGGGAAATACTGCCACATTAACTATTTCTCAAGAGTGTCACGACGCAGTGGCAGTGGCCCTAAGTTTGCGACTGCAACTGCTCTACCGTCCGCTGACTAAAATGCGCCTAAGTGACAAACGGTCAAATATTTAATTTCAAAAGATAGAGCACAAAATTCTCTTGTAAAAACAATTAAACTTGGTTAACGTGATCGACTTATTGGAACTTACCCTAACGGTGCATAGCTGAAATATCACTAAACAATTTAGTTAAACTTTGAACATCATGTGTTTTACAATAAAATGCGAATTGTAAATATATTCACTTATCCACTACCATCTGATTTTAACTCATCCAACTCATCATCCTGCTTAGTACTACCCGCTACTCCTCTCACTGTGGCCAAGGCCCCCTTAGCAGTAGATCGGTCTTGTGAGTCTGCTCGACCGGCAGTACACATTGCACGACGTGTACTTCCTTACCTCCTTCCAACCTACCGTTTGTCACCTTAGGTTTCCTGGTAACAGACTTCCCGTTCATATCTTGCATATATATAATTTCTCCGTCTATATATTTATGGTTAGGTCAGGCTGTACACCATTAGGTTGTAGGGCTACACTATTAGATAAATTCATAGGAACGACTCTTGAGGTCTCACCGTTAGGTTTAATAGGGTAGTTTATTTTTATCTTGACTACTCAAAGTATATTGACAGAGAAAAACACCTTGAATTGGAGAATAGCAAAATCAACCATTAAAATAATTGCTCCTTATAATAAAATTTAGGCGTTATTTATAAAAATGAATCTTCATGCGTGAACTAAGGGTGGTTCACGAGGTGGATGATTTTCATCAAAATTAAATGGAATTTTATATAGGAATAGGACCACTATGGAGGTACCCTCTTTCCAACAAAAAAAGAATCATCAAATTCGGTTCACAAATACCGGAGTTATCGCGTAACATACATACAAGAAAAAAACATACAGTCGAATTGAGAACCTCCTCCTTTTTTTAAAGTCGGTTAAAAAATAGAAGCACAAAATTGTCTTTTAAAAATAATTAAAATTAGGTAACTTCGAAAGTCGAACGACTTATCGGAACTTACCCTAACTAGCACAGCTGAAATATCATTAAACAAATTCAATATTCTAAAACTGTGTCAAGGTTTTTTATAATGTCTCAAAAAAGCATTTTGTCAATTACTCACGTTTTTGTTAGCGGACGGCAGTATGGAAAGACGTGTCGCTTAACACCAGGCGCACGACTTGTTCGTACTGTCACATGTTATCATAAAATAAAATTTGAAAAAATCTTCCATTCACGCTAAATCCCAATTTCTTTTTTCAGATGTGGTACCGAAAGATTCCCGGCAGTATTTTCCTATATCGCTTCTCACAGGAACATGGACTTCATATCGAACGCTACAACCTTCCTCATGTCCGAAGATAGGCCGTATCCATTCTTGGACCGATTATCCATTTCAGATATGCAGAATGTTGACATCGTAACCAAGGCGCCAGAAGTAGTTTAAAAACATTGCACAACACATGTAACAAAACCGTACCCTAGGTGTAATAGACCACATCTGCAAATTGACAAATTTTCAGTTGAGAGGCTTAACGACTCTACGAATGAAATTAGTTTAGGTTCCTTTTTAAAAACAGCTTAAAATCTGAACGAAGCAAAGCGCAATTGGACTTTATGAGTGGCGTATACGTTAAAAATTATTTTATCACGTGAAAATCACAAAAGTGATAATATATGACCTACATGAAATAAATTGTGTATATAAAAGTCTTATAACTCTACTATTTAAGCATTAAAGTCTTTTTTTATATATACCAAGACTTGCGCCTGGTGGTAAGCGACACGCCTATCCACAACAGTTGCCGTGCCACTTGTGTTTTGATCTTAGGGGCACTGGCACTGTGCCCGTCATCCAAGACAAGTCCAAATATTGGCGTTTTGTGTGTCATTTAAAACTTACCCTATAGCAGGAATTCATTTTCACTAACAAGTTATAATACGTATATAACTTAATTTTCAAGATAATCTCGCGTTGTGAACTGGTTTCGGGCGCGATTCCTGGTCATCTAGCTGAGTTGGCAATGGATAGCTCGCTCCTAGCCCCGCTCGTCTCGCGTCTCCTACTACCCCACGGACTACAATTCTTATTTTTTGCTATAAGCGTAACTCTCATTCAAATATAACGTTTGACTCAAATTGAATGGCTAGTAAGGAAAGCCAAGGCAATTTTCTAAGGTCGGCGCACTAAAGCACATAAGTCAAAATCCAACATCATTCATTTAAAATAATACATTTACCAGCTAAAGCACACAAGTAAAATTCATTTGTTACTTGTTAAATTTGTAACTTTATTCCAGAGGCGTCTTTTTCGAATTTGTCATTGTCTTCACATCTTCCAACAATTCAAATAACACAAAAAATGTATAATTGTATATTAAGAAATGAAGCATTGACTTACAATTATATGGACGTCGGGTCCGCGCTAAAAAGTGTCCGCACTTGTAAGGCGCTAAAATCGTATACAGAGCGCCAAACTCCGCTTTAGTCTTCATTCGTTCTACTGACAGCGCGATACTGCGATGACATTACAATTTAAATTTCGAATAGGTTGACTTGGACATTTTTTTCGTGGTTTTTGTATTAGACCCGTTGTCCATTTATTTGTAAGTCAATGAAATGAAGCACTTTTTTGACTTACGTGCTTTAGTCCGCCGACCCTAGAATTTTGAATTGCCGTAATTTATGGAAATGTATTAGGAAACTATGAAAATATTTTATTTTGATATTTATAAAAACGTTTATTATTATTATTATTAAGTATATAAATATATGTAACGTTCCATTACACAATGCTTACGCCACTCGCAAGAAGGCGTTAGTAATGTCTTATAAAGCGTTTTGTGGCAGTATGTTTTTTCTAAATTTCTATCGAACGAGTACCTAATATTACACTTAACTAGTAATAACATAGGCTAACAGGGCTTGAATATATTATAAGATAAAACAAGTTTGTATTGTGTAAATAAAAGTAAAGAAAAAAAAAACGAATAAACCAGGACGTGAATTCGCGAGTCCATTTATGTTCATTTTTATGTACACGAGGCCTTAAGAAGGTTGTAAGAATTATAAATAAAACAAATAAATACTGTATATGAGCATATTTAATATTTTCTTTTTTCAAAATTGTAAAACTCACATTTTGAAATTGCAAAAATTATAACTAAATTCTCCATATCGTTAATAGTAACAATCGCCTTTTGTTTGTTTTAATTTTTTTCTCACGGACTAATAATTAATCGTAAACCATCTATACATCTCTAATAATAATATATTTTAATCTCTAACAAATTCATTTTCTCAACATGTTTACCACAATTTTCGTTTTTTTTTGTCGTTAATCCAACATCAACTTGACATATTTCTAATCAACTTCTTTTTTATAATAAAATTCTAAACTTACTTTTTACAAAAAATTTTCTCCATTTACAATGACTACTGCGTCCTTGTCACACCGACAGACGTTAATTTAAAAAAAATGGAATGGCTTTTTAATGAGAACTTAGAACTAAAAATCCGAGGTACTGAATTGTATGACCCATAATCAGAATTTGAACCACTGATGTTTATAGAAATAATAATCTTAAACTTTTCCTTTGATTGAAGATTTAAACGATTAAAAATGTTATTTTTAAATTTGTATTGAATTGATATATGTAATTATTTTTCGTGAAATTACTCCACCAGTTTATGAATATACATACAACAAATATACGATAATAAGCACATTAAGAATCCGTGAGGTACGCTGGTTCGTTCCGTGGCTTAGTTGGCATAGCGCTTGACACGGTTTGCTAGAAGACGTCGCTTCGAATCCGACCAAATCGAAGAAATTTTTTCTAAGTGTTATTTTTAAGTTTATGTTGAATGTCACGTTATTTCACCACCATTTCAGTTTGTTATAATTATTAATACAAAGATCAAACACTAAGAAAAAAATCCTTTGATCCGGTTGAATTCGAACCGTGTCAGACGCTATTATATATATTAAGCCACGCAACGAACTAGCGGACCTTACGAATTTTTCTATGCGCCTGTTGCAGATCTTTGTTTCTGGTTTTTTAAACAACTGTTTGCCGTAGCGCCATCTGTGAGAAATCTATTTCTCTACTCAGCCAGGTACCTTTATAGCTACCAGCAGTTGATTAGTAAAAATAAAATGTATTACGTGGGTAATCAAACTAGTCCAAATCTAAAATCGCATATTATCTTTGATAAATTCAAACTTATATCATGAATGCAAAAGTTTGACGTCGGCTAAATTCGCAAACTTCGTAAGCTCCATTAATGTTAACCTTTGAATAGGCACAAAAAAAAACAGAATTACTAGACATAATTACATGACAATCTATCTAGGTTTTTAGGTTCATTTTGCTTGGGTCTAGCGGCAGGGACACTGGTTTTAATTCAGAATTATTTATATTTTACGTATACGTGTTCTATTTAATTCGGTTAAAATAAAAAAAAAAACCATTGGTAGGTATATGTAAGGTACTTATTGAATACAGCGGTTTCTTGTAAAATTTCGAGGTAAGTTCGTGTTCTTTTTTCTATCGTGAAAATTTTGAGGAATTGTGTTTCCACATCATATAGTAAACAGCGTATCCTCAATTTTACTATTTATGGTTTTTCAAAAGTGATTGATTCAATACTTTCACTTACAGATGCCATTTGAGGTTATATCGATTATTAAGCTTTAATTAGCTTGAAGAATAAAAATTCTCTGTTACGTTTCCACGCCTCAACCTCTGAACCAATTTTGATAAATTTTGGTATAGATACAGATGGGACATAGGAGAAGGACATTGGCTACTTTTTGTCACAACAATAAATCTTAAAGGGGGTAAAATAGGGAATGAAAGTTAGTATTCAAAACCAATAAAACTATAAAAATTCATATAGTATTACTGGTTATAGTATAGTATTCATAGTTTTATTGGTTGGCTACTCAAAGTATTTATTCTACGCAGATAAAGTTGCTGGCGGGTAGTTAGGGTGCGTCCAGGGAAGTACTGCCACCTCACCTTTTTCTGCTGCCAAGCGGTAATGTGAGCGCTACTGCGTTCCGGTTTTGAAGGTTAAGGGTGCTGGTGAAATTGCAGGCACATGGGACTTGTCAACATATGTCTCAGGGTGACGGGCGCAGTGGCAGTGCCCCTCAGATCTTTGCGATTTAAAGCTCTAAGTGGTACTGCAATTGTTATGGACAGGCGTGCCGCTTACCACCAGCCGCACGACTTGCTTGCCCCGTCACTTGGTATCATGAAAAAAATCGGTTAACGGAAATTGGATAAAATTCAACAAACTGAAATCATCCCCTAATTATCCGCCCTTAAAAGTGGAATATAATAACGCGTACAAAAAGGGTCACAAATGTCGGAACAATCGCGTAACATATACCCAAAAAAGCATAGTCGATTTGAGAACCTCCTCCTTTTCGAAGTCGGTTAAAAGTAGTTTAATTTCCAATATGTGGCAACGCGAAAACCTAAAAACTCGAAATGTGCTCTTCTAATTCGTTCCTTGATATTTTTCTAAAGCTATAATCCTGAAATTATGATTATGAGTCACGCAAAATCCTAGACTAAAGAAGCCTTTACACATAAATATTAAAACATCAATTCCACAACACATACACAATTCGATTACAAAATGAATTCGTTTCTTTGGCAATTTTAAACATTCAAAAGTGAATTTACAATTTTTATTCAAACTGGCTTAATAACCTTTAATACTATTGAGATGAACTGACAAAGATTATATATTAGGTATTTGTGAATTCGTAATTATATATTTCGGACACTGTAGCGTGACTTTACAATTCAAACTGCGCTGTTATTGGCCAGAAGTCGTTACTTCTGGCCAATGACAGCGCGGAAATATCACGTTTGATATTTCCGTGACGCCATTGGTATAAGGCTGCTATCCGATTGACTGCATGTTTGCCGTTAATGCGTTAAGTAGTAATCAACTTCATGCAGCCGAAACCACGACTGTATGACATTGATATTGATAACGACTTCACGCATTAACTGCAGTCGAGCCCGCCGTGCGCTGTGTATGGACGCACACATTCTATTCAATAATAATAACGCACACACTCAACCTTGCCCCATACTAGGGAAACCCTGTGTCGCGGGTGCCATGGACACACACATAGACAACCACAAATTACACCCAAACTCACGAGAGAAATAAATATAGGCCATACAAATATTTCTCCCGGCCCGGGAATCGAACCTGGGACCTCTGCGTGGCAGTCCGGCATGGCAACCGTTCGGCCACAGAGGCAGTTATAATGAAAGGCTGTTGAGACGATCAGCGCTATGCAACGCGAGTGCACAGCGCAACTATGCAAATGTGTGCGTCCTTATAAGCCATGTAGCGGGTACACGTACATACAAACTGCGCTGCTACGTAGTTATCATTCTTGTCTTGTTCTATGGTGACGCTATTGGTGAAAGTTCTACTGTAATGTCCGCAAAATATTTTGGTTAATAAATTTGGTGGCAACGGAAGAAGCTTTTATGTATATTAATTTACTAAACTATTGCATTTAAGTATTCTCCTTATACATATCAACGAATATATTTGAACTTGACTAACACTGGCCAAACAAGTTAAATGTACTTATACACTTAAATAACTATTGTACGATAAGTTAAAATAGAACATACATTTTAACGTAATGGTTCGGTGACCAATATCAACGAATATTTAGGCCCAAAATAGAGAAAAGTTCTTAAGTTCTTTTTGTAAGTGAATGTAACCTTATTTTGTACACGTAAGCAGTAAGTCTAACATTTTAGCCTACCTAAAGTACTTGGCCGTAAAACCTATGGTAACAAATACAATATTACCCGAACAAACTTGTATAATGTACTGAGCAAAGCGAAAATTCAGAAAAAAACAAAAAATCTACATTAACATGGATGGAGCGGCTTACAGGACTACAAGAACTTATTAAAAATAAAAATAATTGCAACCCTAAATTAAAAACTTAAATATGAAATATATTAATTACTACAGCACTATTTCATTCATATAATACAAAACAACAAATAAATTCGTGCTTCTTAACTTTAAAATGCAATTTTAAACCTAATATTTAACTCTTTACTTATTTTTTACGAGAAAATGTTTTCTAACCTCAAAAATTACACTCGGCCACTTCTTCAAGCATTTTATTATTTCGATGAAGTAATTTATAGTCTACAAATCGTCGCACCAGGCAATTTTTTTAACCTAACACCTAGAATCTCCCTGATTTTTTTCTTACACCTAATTATACACAAAATAATTTTGTACTCTTCATTCGAGTTCCAAATGGCAACACCAAATGTGGCTTTTTATGGCAACATTGTACAATTTGGGTCAAAAACTCTTTTGTTTTAAAATGGACCTTCGATTAGCGAACATGTTCACCGTGTAGGCCACCCAACGTGATTACAATAAATGCTTATGTTAACCGACATGTCACCAGACATTTTTAAACACGGCGAACAAATTTAATGGTCGCTTTAAGTTGACAATTTATCAAACCGCGTAATCTTAAAAAGGCGGCATTTTCGTTTTATCATAAAGGTACACTGTATTAAACCATAAGTAAATTACAAACGAAAGCAAGCTACTTATGTGGTTATAGATAAAATGTTATCTTTTTCAAACAAATAGAGAAATATGATGGCAACAGCGATTCAGAAATATTTAGTTCACTAATTGTGACTGCAAGAGTGACGGTAGCGCTGCAACTGTTCTTCTACATATTGTATGAAAATTAGTGGCGCCTCAGCATCGCTTCTATTAAGGATGATTCACTTTGCAAAAATTCTGACAATAATATTGCCGCAATTTATCGCGTTGCGCGATATGACCTTAAGTTGACCAATCAGGAGCTGCGACATTTTAACGCGCGATGGTTTGATTGGTCAAGTCATATCGCGCAACGCGATAAATTGCGGCAATATTATTGCGAGAATTTGTGCATTGTGTATCCACCTCTATACTAAACGCAAACTAGTATGATCCCTGTGACATTTTACTTGTGTTTGTCATAAGGATGAGGTACAGTTGATAGATTTTTAGTGTATTTGATTTTTGAAGCATTTTGCTTCAAAAAACAAATTCTCTCTTATAGTTTTATTTTTCTGACGTATTCTGAACGATGTATAGATGTGTGAAGAATTTTGTATTTGAAAGGCAGAAAACACAGAACTATAATTCAAATACAATTTCAATAGACATTTCAGAAAATTTCAAAAAACATTTATCCTATCATTACTTTATAGGTTTCAAAAAAGTAATAACACGCGTGTTAATTTATTGCCTATGATTAAATTTCGTACTTTAAGAATAAATACCCAAACTATACAAATTCATTAAATTATCGAAAAGTTTTTATGGATATCCCTCATCTCTAACAAATGCAGTGTAACCTTGCACATTGTCGTAAAAATTAATGAAATTTTGAAAAAAAAAAAACCGTTTTTCCGATAATTTCTTGCAAATAAACATTGATTTGGTGTTCTTTTTACTTTAATTGAGTTTATTTACTTAATAATAATAAAAGCTATTCATTTAAAAACGAGGCTTATAAAAATAGTTTATGAAATACATAAATTAGTGCACGTCGTTACAAGGTTATATTGTATAGATGTTAATGAACTGTCACAGGGATCTTCCTACATTATTTTTAGTTGTAGCGTCTAGTTTGAAGGCCTTATAACGCATGTAGTTTGTTTGCAATGGCAGAAACGAACACCGTCAAGTGAAATATACAAATAAAAAGGGCTGCTGAATTACAGTTAGCCACGCAAATACACTACCATCAACATTGTAACGTGACAAATTAAAGTAAAGCCATCGCAATGAAAAACGTCAAACCAAGTTCCCCATGGACAGTAACACTGCTTGCACACCACTTATATCACAAATAGCGGTTCTGTATATAGACGTGTGACATCAGGAAAAGATCTCATACATTGAATTAGACTATTTCCATCCAACCGCAACCAATAGCTATACATCTGTAATATTATTATTACCTGGTGATTTCTTCATTGCGAGTTATACTGTCCCTACAGTAGATTTGTTAGAGCGTAAATACTTGTTATAACTCTAAGTAATCAGAATCAATACCTACATTGTAACATAAAGTTCCTACAGTCTCTTTTCGATAATGAAATAAGTAAGACATAAAAAAATTGGGTTTTTAGATAATGTGAGCCCGATTTGAAATAATTTTAAATAAACTTTACTATAGTTGTTTCCAAAAAAATAATTGTTCATCCAAATAAAATCAATAGTTTTATCATTTTCATAATTCTCGTAATTCTCTTTGTAATTTCCACCGTTTAGTAGACAAAATTGACACATTGTCCGCATACACATTTTTTTTGCAAGAAACCTTCGAAACTTCAAACACTCCAATAACATCTAAAAAGTTCCAATAAACCTTCGGAATCCTCTTCATGATACACCAAAACTAGTTCAGATACTTCGACGATTCATGTCAGAAATCTTCATCTTGTGCCAATTCTTGAGATTCCATTCAAAATCGTCGTCTCCAGTCAAATCTTTCTAGAAGTATCCAAACTTAATTCCGAAGTAATCGAAAGGTTTCGCCGTTTCCTAGGGTTGATTGAGCAATAGTGCCTCGAGCTCATCAGCTGAACGCAGCAGAAAAGCGGCTGACTCACGGTATCCTGTGATAAGCTGTCGCACGGCACCGACTTCGGCTCCTGATAACTTGTGAGTGAGGAGAGGTGTCTTGGTGGATGGAGTAGTTCCAGTCAACGATGAGACCGTCGATGTGACATGGAGAGATGTTGTTGGCGTATTCTTGAGAGATAGATCTGTTGGTGCTGGAAAGACAACGAATGATGACGTTAATCAAGACGCTTCAAGAATTTAAGCTTTGCGGTAAAATTTGATTTTAATAGTCGAAGAGAGATTTAAATGGTCCAAATACACTTGGATGGGAGATATCCCCAAATATCTAGGCAGGAACAGTTTTAAGCGTACATGTAACAAAATATTTCTCACATAGAAAAAATCATAAATAGGTTTCAGTGGTCTTAATAATAAATATATTACAATAAACAACTGAATGTAATGACCTCCTGTGATAGTCACTTGATAGCATATCGGATGAGTGATAGATTAACAAGTAATGTTCCTGAAGTAGGTAGGTAAGTAGATTTAATTGGATTTTAAAGTAAGTAAGTAGAAAATCGATCCCACCAAACCACTCACCGCTAAGGCTGGTAGGAAAAGTATGCGTGTGCGCAGCCATTGCAGAAAGTAAAGCGCTCTGGTAAGCCGCCATTGCCGCGTTCACTCCCACGCCTGTAATAACATATTAAATCTGTTTACAAATCGGATGCATCTATGGTATGGAGACGTCACCACTCACTATTAGATAATTGCGAATAATTTTGAACAATGGAAAACGGTCGAAGTTTGAACGCTCCAAATTAAAAAGGGACTTTTTTATACGTTGCCCTAATCCAAAGTAACTAAAGCACTTGTGTTATGTATGGAAATCGGAAACAACAACGGTACCTTAAACACCCAGACCCGAGGCAATATAGAAAAGTCAGTTTTTCTACATTAACACGGCCGGGAATCGAACCCAGGACCTCAGAGATGGCGACATCATGAAATCCGGTGTGCAAGCCACTCGACCACGGAGGTCTCGACTTTGTATGTAATCATGACTATTAGTTTAAATGGTAGCAGGAGACCAAGAAACAGGCGGCGGCGGAGGGAAACTCTGATTTTTGACGAAAATGTATAATATTCCAAAAATTACGTTAGCCCTCTCACACAGCACACAGTACAAAAAACAATGGATATCAGAAACGGACGACAAAAATATATAAAAAATAAAACAAATTCGAAATATGAAAATTATATAAAAAAAGTCTGTTGCCAACAATCAGTTTGTAACAAAAACCTTACCTGTGGGTGGCAGAGCAGACAACGTCGACAACAGGGCGGCACTGTTAGATAAAGCCGAAGCCGAATTAGTATTCGAGCTGAAATGAATACGAAAAACTTATATAGAATTAAAATCATAAAATCAAAATTTAAGAAATTTTGTTTATATACATACTTTTGGCGTCCGAAACTTGGTGGATTGCCAAATGTAGCTGGGAACGAAGGCCTGAATAGCGGAGCTGGAGAAGATGCAGGGCTGAAATATAATAAAGAAATCATTAGTTACAACATCGAAGAAAATCCAATTCTTAATACATAAATTGCAGGAAAAATATTTTTCACTAACCATCTATCGTAAAAGTTTTTGATTGTTACTAACAAAGTCGATCAATGATCTTAAGTAAATAAACTATTATTATTATTACAAGGTTTGGTACAGGACGGTCAATGTATAGGACTAAAAATTATAGACAACTACGAAATTTATCGTACCAAGGGAATATACAAACCTCGCAGTCTTACTCCCAGCATTGCCATTAGCGTTGTCCAGCTTCAAATTATTGTTATTCAGCAAAGAGTTCTCCAATGTGGGGCTTGCTGAAGGCCTGGTAGTGTCTGCAGGTGCCTTGCTGTGTCCAGCCGTGGCTAGAGATGTGGTAGAAGTATTTGTGGCAGGGGTGGATGCAGGACTGGAAATGGCTCCACTGTAGAGGCTTAGGAACGACGAAGCCACAGCTGATGTTGCTGTTGAGTCTATAGCCTGTGAATGAAAATAATACAGCTCATGCAGATATAAATCGAGTAGCACTTTTTCATTTATGTATAATACGTATTCTTCTATACATGTCAACTGTGAAAACTGTTTTTATATCAAGCAATTGAGAAATAAATATTAATAAAGGTTCAAATGAGCACACACGGCAAAGAGTAGAAAAAACAAAACTCTAATAACGACTAAACTGGCGACTAGAACTAGTATTTTTCATTTATGAGAAAAAAATAATAATTTAAGAAGACTTGGCCACTTATTCGCACCTATCGACTGGTCTATCAGTCGTGCGTGTGCTCCCACATTCAAGTGAAAACGTGACATACCATAGGCGTGGGCACAGTAGGCATAGGTTGACTGACAGGCTCTAGCCCCAATCGCATGCGTTTGGCGTTGAGGCTCTCATTCTCGCAGGCTTGGGCCAGTATGTGCTCTGCCTGCACTGACGTCAGGTGGGCTGGGGTCGGGCGGACCTGCAACGGTCAACAATGATATTTAATTTTGATATCATTAATATAATTTTTAACAGTTTGATTAAAGTTGCAGGTTGGATCCACAAAACTCATACATTTTAAGTCTTCTTGAATAATAAAGATTATTAAACATCACGTACTTTCCTGTTAAATATGAGATCATTAATAAAACTGCGTGTCTGAAACGTGGACCATGTTAATATCTCCTTTTTAGTCCCATGCCGTGTGTACCATAAATGGGATAACAGAATACCACGCTATTACTCGGTGAATTTCATCAAAGAAAAGCCAAATAATGATTTGAATTGTCAAACTGTGCCTCATATATATTATAGCGTATATTAGATTGAGGCAAATAAACAACTCCGCCTCCATCATTGTCTCGACAACTTCCGCCAGACAGACTCATAGCGTGGGCGCATTGTGAAACTGCGTCTGGGAGTATTAAATATAATTCCTATTGCTAATTCGGATATTTATCATCTCCATCATTGATGTTCTTCTTCACCGTCAAAATGAGTGATGGAAAAAGTATTGCGTCGTTTACCAATTTACAGTGCTGGAGATTATAGCCTTATATTTACAAGCATTGCTAGACCAAATTATTATGCAAAACAACAAAAAAGGCATCCGATCGAACCCTCACCGCGCTATCCCAAGAGTTAGTTCCCGGGGTGCTTCCTCCATTCCCCGTGGTAGGACCATCTCCCCGAACCTTCTTGTTCCTCCGACAACTCTTTAAGTATGTTCGGATACGTTTGCGAGCTCGCTCAGCGAATTCGGGGAACTGCCTCGTGCAAGAATCTATGATGGCTTGGATCTTCTCCTTTGGCTGCTTGGAGATAGGGACTATCCTATCAAGATTCTCGTCTACGAAGAGGCGGACGAACATCTGGAAGTAGAAGTTTCACTTATAAATATTTTTTTTATATTTTAAAGGTCTTAAAATTACTTATTTTTCATTAATTCCTTTGAGTTTAAAAATAATTCAGGTTTTGGCTTAGTTAATTTCTGATCTATCTACTTATTGTTATATCGTACAGAACATTTCAGAAAAACTTACATTAAAAGCCTTCAACCGCTCAGGATCATGATGTTGAGGATCAACTCTGTCGTCACTGTCATCATCAGACCCTCCAGCATCATCATCATCCTTTGTCCGATCTGATGATGAAGTCTCATCAAGAGTTGATGCGGCTTCGGCTCCAGGAGTCGCTGATCCCACATTTATTGGACTCTGAAAATTGGTACACGATTTGTTATTAATAAACCTTACGAATCAATTAACCGGTGAATACTAATTGAAAATGGTTGCAATATGTATCTGTTTTATGTTCATTTTGTTTATAACTATTGTTAAATCAAATATTAAGTAAATGCAGTAAATAATAAATGGTTGTAAGGTTTAGTAATTTGAGTCCCAAACATAAACCTTGTCGAACGCCGATATCTTATATTATTTGCCTGAGAGGACTACTAACCCTGGTAATAATACTTCAAAGTTGGGTTTTGATAAAACTGTACTCAAAATGTACATAAAAAGTCAATGGCACAATGTAACTGGATGAATTTCGTTCAATTACTGGTTGTTAACATTGTCAAAAGCCTTTGTACGTTCGCAATTGTATACAACTGTCAGTAATTTACAGCAATTACAAAGTAACCAAAGCCATCTGGTTGATTTCAGGCCTTTGACCATAATAATAAAATTTTAAGACGGGATTGTGCGTAATATGGGCCAAAAAACTGAGCTCTTGCAAGAAAACTGGGAAAATAACGAAATTTTTTTTAAGGATGAAAGATTACATATAATTATTTACGTTTCCATTTATCCCTCACTATTTTCTTGCCTCTTATTATTGTCGATTTTAATCTATAACTTTGGCCTCCAACGTAAATCCAAGGGTTCTTCGCAATCTTCACTAGATTATTGATTCACCTAGTCATGTTCACATCGTCTACCTCTAATTCACCATTTGAAGATAGTTCTTCTTTCCAGGCACTTCAACTCGCTAATCTACCTTTATAGTAAGTAAGTAAATAACCATGAAACGTTGCTCAACCTTAAAACTCACCGATTGACCAGTGGTCAGTGGTGTTGGCGCCTTCGGGGGCTTGCTCCCCAGGCCTAAAGCACTGTGGTAGGAAGCCCAGAGGTCGGCCATGCTATCTGTGCCGCTTTCTGTGATCTCACCATTGCGGCCTGCAAATACAAGGAGGTTAGAAGAAATATCAAGAAAAATGTTATATAACAAATTTATAATATTGTTATACATTTGTTATATAACATTTATGGTATGCTGCACCACCTTTTTAATATAAGCTGGTAGGGCACAGTACCGAAAGATTGGTGTAAATCAGTAATTGTTCCTCTGTATAAAGGAAAAGGGTCGCAGCAGGAATGTAAAAATTACCGCGGTATAAGCCTCCTTAGCGTCGTTGGCAAACTGTATGCAAAAGTTGTGATTGAAACGTTGTGCATGAAACCGAAGAGAAAGTATGGGATGTACAAGCGGGATTCAAGAAAGGAAGAGGATGCATGGATCAAGTCTTTTTCTTTAAGGTGCATAGCCGAAAAATACTTAGCAAAAGGGCAGAAAGTGTACTGCGCCTTCGTAGACTTAGAAAAGGCTTATGATAGGGTAGTAAGAAATGAGCTGTGGAAAACTTTGTCCATGTACGGGGTGAGCAGCCGTCTGATTCAAGCGTTGCAATCTTTGTATAGGGATTGCACCGCTTGCGTCAGAATAAACGGGTTGTATGTTAGGCAGGGCTGTGTAGCGTCTCCTTGGCTGTTCAACCTGTTCATGGACAATTGTTTACTTGATTTGAAAGGTAGTGAATGTGGATTAAGAATTAATGAGTTACTTGTCAAATGCCTTCTCTATGCCGGTGATCAAGTTCTCCCAGACTCGTCGACAGAAAAATTGCAAGAGATGCTAACAATTATGCATGAAGTGTTTGAAAGGAAAAGAATGAAAGTGAATGTAAGTAAGACGAAAGTGATGGTGATTTAAAGGGATGACAGTGTTTCAGAATGCAATATTAGAATTGGCAGCGTGAGATTACAACAAGTAAAAGAATTTGTCTATCTGGGTAGTTTATTGACAAGAGATGGTAAGTGTGAAAGGGACATAAAGAGGAGAGTGCAAACCGGAAATCGAGTGAGCCCTGTATGCCTTAATGGGTAGCCAGATGTCTCAAAACAGTCACGTTTGGCTGTTCATCGGGACGTGCTGGTCCCAATCCTAATGTATGGTAGTGAGTGTTGGGTGTGGCAGAAAAAACATGATAGTAGGGTGAATGCTGTAGAAATGAGAGCTTTGCGCAATATGTGCGGTATTAGTCTTAAAGATAGAATGTCAAACAGTGAGGTAAGTGAGCGTTGTGGTATGAAAGATGATGTAGTGACAAGGATAGAGAGAGGAATGCTTCGATGGTTTGGTTACGTAGAAAAAACGAATGTTGGTCGATTGACGGCACAAATTTATAGAACGAATGTGGATGGAAACGTGGGAAGAGGTAGACCTCGGCGAACTTAATCAAATTGAGGATGTCCTTAAAAAAGGCCGGGTTAAAAGTACCAAGAAAAAAACGGGTATGTATAAAGAGATTGATGGGAGTAGAGGAGGCGAAGGAGGTTTGTCAGGAGCGTAGCAAGTGTAGGTCCATAGTCTCTGCCTACCCCAACGGGAGACAGGCGTGATGATATGTATAATATTGTTAGTACAGTAAAACTGATACACAAACATGAACCATGAAGGTTTTGTGCAATAATTAATTAATAAAAAATAAGGATCTTCCCTCAGCCACTTGAGTCTCACAGGGCTATCAGTGAGACACAAGCTACGTTAAAAATGCCGTTAAAACAAAAAACAAAGATCTGCAGGAAGTATAAATAAATTCGTATGGTTTGTTGACTCGTTCCGTAGAGCGATAACCCGCGTAAGGGGAAAATGTCACTGATTCAAGTCCAGAATCGAATCGAAGGATTTTTCTTTCAGTTTGTTCGATATTTGTATCAATTACAACAACAAACTAAATAGCCGTAACAGTTGAACTTCTTTTAATGTACACGAACCTCTAATGTACAGAAAATGTCTTGAGGTAGCTCAGTTGGAAGAGCGTTAGCCACGGTATGCTGAAGGCGCTGCTGGTTTGAATCCAGCAGAATCGAAGGAATTTTTCTTAGTGCTCGATCTTTGTATGAATAATTAATTTATTACATTGAAGTTCAAGTTCCTTTCAAAGCTCAATGGCACAAACGATACGAACTGAATGAGCACAAACGATATGATTCTAACCCTAATCTTGACTTAGTTTGCGATTGCAGTTAACTTCTTATGTTTCAAAACAATTAACGTTTATTTACGATAAGCATAATTTAAATTTGCCTTCCGATACACTTAGCTCTATAAAGAAACTAAAAACAATGTTACCCCAAAATTAAGGGGTTCCTTTACTAAAATTGCACTTAAATACGTAAGTTAACAAAGTAATGAACTTGGCTACATTTAAACGAGCTTAAGCTTGAACAGCAATATTGTATGAATTTTAATGGCCACTTCATAAAAGACGTGCAGTCCTGGTAATAAACCTTCTGGGTAAGAACGGCGGTGCTTATATTACCAGAACCATGGTTCTAATTTAGGTTTATTTACATGTATGTGCAGCATCGAGCTACAAGCTTAAACGTGTTTGCGTGTATTTATAAATAAAGGCTACGTTAGAAGAAGGTTTTGTCGCCATGATTATCGTTTAGTAGCAAAAGAGCTGTGCTTGTGAAGTCCAGGAAAGTACTGCGATCTGCCGCCAAGCAACAATGTGAGCATTATGAGCAGATTTTGAAGGTTAAAGGTGCTGGTGACATTACAGGTACGTGGGACTTGTTAACCTATGTCTCAGAGTGACAGACGCAATGGCAATGCCCCTAAGATCTTGCGATTTAAAGGTCTGAGTAGCACTGCAACTGCTACGGACAGGCATGTAGCATACCACCAGGCGCACGACTTATTCGTCGCGTCTCTTGGTATCATAAAACAAAATAGGTCTTGATTCCCTTATCAAGGATGCTCTTGACCATTATGCATAATGACCAGTCCATATTAATAATGCCCTTAACAAATACATTGGCTGAAAGTAAAACTAGCTTTCGGCTTTTGTACTGCGGCGTATTTGACGACTAACTGAGGCCGATGGGGAAAATATCCACTTGGAAATTATTTTGTGAATGTGAGGATCCTCAGCTATGAAGGAACGCCCAGAGAAATCATGAGTGCTGTCATTAGCTGAAATAAGACCTATAGGATTTTACAAGAACAATTGGATTGTACAAGAACAAATCTATAATTGTCTGCTTAAAACTTAGTACTTAGTTTTCTCTGGGGAGAGGGTATGAAAGTATAATGATGATGACATTTGACACCCCTACAAATGTATCTAATGTGTTATTATGTAATTGAATTAACCTTTAACTGGTCAAAAAAACACACGACTGCACCCCACAACACAACATGAGTCATAAGTAATGACGTAACATTAACGTAAGTATGTGTTTTGTTTTATTTCTTGATTTTAACCCAATATTTCTTTTACACGCTAACGATTCCGAAGTAGGTATAGACCTAAACGTCTGAAAATAACTTTTCGTTAGTTTAAAACCTACATAATTTTTAAATATATAAATAGTAAACTTTAGGTCCAAGAGGAGTGCCTTGTAGAACACTTGAAATGAATCCTCAATAACTTCAAAACCAAACCTAAAAATAAGTTTCATGAAAAAAATATATTTAGTCACATGGACAGAGCCATTGAGAAAAGTTGTAGACTTAAACAACTCCTCATCTATTTTTAAAATGCACGAAGCCGTATTAAGGTATACAGTATAAACATCGTCATGGGTAGACGATCGCTAAAAAGTTAACGCTTACCTACTAATATATGCGTCATCACTATGCGTGGATGACCCATCAGATCCCTAAACATAGCTGTTGTGTAGTTTAATAGCGAATGTATCTTGTCACCCGTGCCGTAGATTTTTAATAATGCCCTAAGCTATTTTGAAGAAAATCGTAAAAACCTCGCTTGTAATAGTTTTAGCGATATGCGGTTAGACCCCAAATAAGTCTAGGAAGGAGCTAGCGAAGTTTGATAGAGGGGAATTAGTAAAGCCTATTTTTTTGTACACGAAGCCAAGAATATAAAATAGGGAAATACAAAAGCTTTACCGATATAGATTCGTTGTGTTTTACTGCTTATCTAGCAAAGTCTAAACTCTGTTAAAAGATACTTTATACAGGGACCTCTAAAAGACAATGAAAATTTAGGTAAACATGTGGATTGATTTAAAAAAACAAATTACGCCATCTATTGTGACAAATCAATACTTCAATATCTTTGTGTTAGAACTTTATACAGCCTAGTAAACTAAAAGTCAGTAACTATTTAATTACTTTAACTGTCGTCTTAGGAATTTAACTACACTACGGTCAGCTAAAATTACCCTAGCAACAAGAACACGATACCAGGGGTGCAGCATTGCATAGCGGTAAAGCGGACACCTCGAAATTATTTATAGTAGAGGCCTGTTGACATTTAGAGGTACAGGTACTGCGGCAGATGGTTCTATAACATAGGCCCCCATTAATACCTCCTCGGTAACACGCACGGTGGATTATTATAGTATTGACATGTATCTTGAGTCGTTTACATGGCAGCAGTGGCTGATGTATTCTGAGCTGTTAAATGTGCTTAGTACTGTTGTTACATATATACATAGGGTAATAAGTAGATAATATGATCCCTGCTAAGAGGTATAAGTTTCAAACCAGTGACTCATTTTTTTTAGGTTCTTATTCCTACCAGTTCCATAAGTTCTATTTTAAAAACTTAATTTCTGCTTTAGATTCCTTTCAACGAAAAGATTTTTTCCATTTTATTGTAAAGATCAGTTAACTGATTAAATTTTTTAATTATCAAAAGTGATATATTCCTATAAAATGTTTATAATTAAGAATAATGGGTTTTAGTTCCCATTATTTATATTAAAGTCATGAAAGAGTATTGTTTATAATTCTTTTGCATGGAGTAGATGAAAAATAATTAATTAATCTATAAATTACAACAGGCTGCAAAAGTCAATTTGATGAAAGTGGGTGAGGATTAATTTGTTTTAAGCGCCCTTTAAACGATCAAAAAATGTATAAAATTGTGTTTGTCAAACTTTTTGTTCCTCTGAGATCGTGTTTGGTGCGTTTGTCATATAATCTACGTGTTTGATAGACTTTTTTTATGTTACTAAGTGATAGGATCAACCATTCATGAATCTGGAGGTAAGCGTCCACAGCAGTTGCATCTTTACTTTAAATCACAAAGATCTGAGGGGCATTGCCACTGCGCCTGCTACCCTGAGACATAAAGTTGACAAGTCTCATGTGCCTGTAATTTCATCAGCACCTTTTTGAAGGACAAAATCGGAACAGAAACAGGTAAGTTAAGGTGGCAATATTTCTTTGGCCGAAGTTTCTCAAAGAGCTCTACTGCTACTAAATCTAGATTGATGAAAAAGGAAATCTAGACTGACAGCGTTTTTGACAAACAAAATTTAACGTAGGTTGGTATATTTGTCAAACAAAACGTGCGTTGTCGTCTACTTGTTTTGTGTACAATATTTCTGTTAACATATTTTCGTGGGTATAATTTTCTCTTAATTAACCATTCTCTAGACCGACGATTCTCAAAGTGGTATACATAGACCCCTCAAGGGGTCCATGTCAGCTCTAAAAGTAGTAGGTGCATGAAAAGTTAAAGGGCAAATGGCCTACGAGAGTGGAACCACATAACACAGATAGTACTTATGTACATACATAGTAATTTCTTATTATAGAAATATAAATTGTTTATGAAGTAAACATTTCACAACAAAGAAGATATTCAGTTTGAAAAATATATAGAATTTAACATGTGTGATTAATACAAAGATCGAACACAATGAAAAATTTCTTTGATCTGATAGAACACGAACCTGCGTGTGTAATGCCAATCTAGGGCAACAGCTCTCAATAAATTTCTCAAAGTGAGTAGTACTAAACACATTTGAAGTCATTGAATTTGTAAAATATATCGTTATTAGAAATGCAGGGTCTACGCAACACAGAATAAGTTTGGGAACCTCTGCACTAGATCAACGTCAATTCTTATTTTTCTTAATACATAGTTCTAGAGGTAATGCCAAATACGCTTTGTCTGTATTATTTATATATGATACGACTATACAAGGAGATGGCCGAGTCTAACTACAGTCAAATTTGTCAAAATGGTTTGATCTTTGATTTGATTGTTAGCGGCTTGAAGAAAACGTGAAGTTTGAAGAGTAAATTTGACAAGCAAATTGGATCGTTTACAACAAGGACGGACTTACAATATTGCAGCCTATTGCACTTTGAATATAAACCAAATTACCTTGTGATTGGTGATAATTCCATGCGAGCAACATCATTTTCAACTTCTCGGCATCTTTCGCGAAGGCCTGACCTGCACCCAATCACATCGCCGATCAAAATTTAAATTTAGAATTTTACGAACATAATTCAAATGATAGCCAAATAGGAGCCAATAGGGTGGTCGGTATGTTACGTTTCAATTTTAATTTTTTTTTTAGGGTTGTTACATAAAATACCGATATTTTTAAGTTGATTTGATGCAAGTGGCTGTGTAGGTTTATAAACTTAGGAACATGAAACTTTACTTACTAGAAAAGTTATCGTCATCGTTCATGTCCGACGGTTCTGGAGTTAAGTTATCCTGTAACAAAAGAAAGATTACGTTAATATCTTTTAACAGTTTGATCTTAACATTTTAACATTCTTGTCAATATGAACTGGAATCATCACTCAATACTCTGTAACATTAATTATTCATTTATTGTGAATGGGAACCCGCTCAAATATATCATACATACTTCTTCATAAATACAATCGATTGTAATAATCGAACCGGTAACGTATGAGGACATCACTAATTGATTAGTATTTGAAAAACAAAACAAAAGGAAAATAAATAGTGGGACGGAGTATAAGCGACGAAGATACGTATTTGGCCACGCATGGCCGCCATTGAAGAAACAATAATAACAATATAACGTACATTTGTGAATATTTACCAATAATTATGGAGAACATAGTAATAAATGTCGTACAATTTACAAAAACATGTGAAATCACCAACCCGTATTATGCCTTATCGGAGACACATGTTCAGCACATGTATCAAAATCAGTGTGATTAAATATCTCTATTGACCCCAGATTTATGCGAATAAACGTAGAACCTTTCTAAAGTCAATCTAAGGTACCAGGATATCACGTTCCCATAGGAGCAACCGTTTAACATGGCAATAATTAATAAATTAGTGAAACGCGCTCGGGTCAACGCTCCGCGACAGATCGATAGTGCTTCAAATGGACAACTCACTAAATATAGTTGCCGCATATTCTGGCCCCCTGGTACTGCCGGACTCATCCCACTAAAAATGTATTGACCCCACCGTGTTGGGACTCGATGGACAACTATGTAGACAGTTTTTTCACCTCACCCCACATTATGAAGTAGATACGTGAATAATTATTTTTTGTATATTACATTATTTGTAAAACCAATGTTACTTCACCTAACGTTCATAATTCACACATACGTAACACATTTCTTAATGGAAACAGATTTGTATATAGTTTCAAAGTGCACAAGCTTTTTATGGTTTTCTACATGTGGGTATGTATTTACGTTATCAACTAAATACTATGCAATCACTATACAAAAATTAACAGTTTTGGATAACGGCTACATTATCACTAGTTCTGTATAATGGAGCAGAACTCAGCACGGCAGGAAAACGAAAAACGCTGATGAGTCCGGATTTAAGGGTAGGAAAATCTAGCTATTTCAAAGAAGGCACAGGAGACTTTTAGATCTTATTCTCTCTCTCCTCAAAGACCTCTCAGACTTACAGTCGTAGCAAACTAATGGCACCTATCGCTTACGGCATAGGAAAACATCATATCGAAGAAGCAGGCTTATTCCTGAACGGCATAACTTGGGCCATTTCAAAGCGACAGTGAGTAGGCATTATTGACGTGTGCTTGCTCGATCGTCGACCTCATCGTCACTTTCCATCAGGTGAGATGGAGGTCAATGGCGCATTTATTTTTTAATAAAAACAAAGGTTGAGATGTAGCTGACGTGTAGCGGATGACGTGTAGCTGCCAAACTAGGCAGGTAGGCTAGCATTGTGGCAGGGGGTTGTGGCCTAAACTCTCTCCTCGAAGGAGATCTGCGTCAGTGACACATAATTATTTGTGAAAAAAGTATGAAATTTCACTTTATACTGATATTGAATTACTGAATTTATTTATACTATGCAAAAAGTATCAATGGAGACAAATCCCTTTAAGTTTTTGTATTAAGTACTTTGAATTATTCATGTTTAACTATATGAACAACCGTATACATCAATGTAAATTGCGTGATGAGTGGGCTCTAAAATGTCGTTGCGATGTCTTCGCAAATAAACCGGTTTTTGGCAAAAATCTAAAGTTTATAAAGAGTCCTTCGAATGAGTTTAATTATAATGTAATTCAATTATAAAAAAAGTAGGTAAATAAATTGTAATTTTTCTGAAATGATAAAATGTTATTGAAAAGACAAAAGACTACCACATCTAACCTAGCTGTGTAGACATTTTTTCACATCGAATTGCGCTGACTCGGTGCATATAGCTAGATAGAATCTGCGACGTTTCAATTAAGTAAATTGAAAATATAGAAAATGCAGAAGTTGCAATATCAAGTCTTGGCACACTTCTCACAATTTTTTTACTTAAGCTTGCACAGAAGATAGAAGTTAAGAATTGCCTAATCATAAACTAACATTATCACTTCAAACTTAAGATAGCAACATTTTATGGGCCTGCTTTTCGCGGCAAAGGAAAACACGCGAAGATTTCGTCCAACAGGTGGTTTACAACCGATACAAAACATCATAGATTTCCCCTTTCTCTTTCTCCCCTACACCCCCACAGTGACTCCCCTTCTAACAGAATGTTAGGCAATCAAAACAAATGATTCGTTCATTCATTCATCGCGAGTGAATGTACAATTTCAGTCAATCATAATCGACATAGAAATAAGAAGGGCAGCTGTTTTCTTTTTAAAGAAACTTTTTACTTTTAAACTTTTTTTTTTTCATTTTTAGTTTTCTTTTTTATGAAATTTTTTTAATCTAGAAAATGAAACTATTTTACCTTTTCCTTCTAAATCGTGTATATTTGTTTTCTTGTCAAACAAACGGGACGAACAAGGCGTGGTCAGAGCTTTAAATCACATAGATCTAAGGTGCACTGCCTCTGCGCCCGTCACCCTGAGACATAAGTTGACAAGTTCCATGTGCCTGTAATTTCATCAGCACCCTTACCCCTATGCCTATGCCTATAGGTAAGGCGGCAGTACTTCCCTGGGCGAACTCTTTCACAAGGGCTCCACCGCTATTAATAACCTAAAAAATCGATATGCATACAATGTTTAAGACAAAAATTAATATCGATCCGTATTTTAAAATCTTCATTTAATGACCTCCTAAATGTAATATAATAGGTATCTCAACTAGAGGCTGTTCTTATTAAAGGTCATAAAGAAAACTTTGTACTTGTGTCCACTATTCGGAGTGATAATAAGGAGCTGACTCAAGATTTCTCGTAATCCACATCTAACCAGGCAAATGGGACGTGTTCACTTTATGTCTCAGTGTGAGAAGGGCGTAATGCAGTTTATCATTTTACATTTATTTATTTGCATTATAAAATATAATAAACATTATTCATAAACGTAATGCCTAACGCATGCCATATAGGTTGTTATTATAAGTCTTATTTTTATGAAATACCTATGTTATAGAAAGACGTTAGTCTAAAAATAACACTATATATAAGATCGATCATATCGATAAGACATTTACGTGTAACTTTTTCGTTTAAGAAATTTCAAAATCAATCAATGTGTTCCAAATTTTTTAACAGACCTCAAACCATTCGCACGAAGCATTACGCTACCACATTTATATGGCGAGTCAGCTATGGAGTGGAATTCCCAGCCAGCAGACTTGTTCCCTGAACGTTATAACTTAAACCTTTTCAAGGCGAGATTGAATAAGCATTATTTAAGTGTGCATGCTCCATTGTCGACCTCATCGTCACTTTCCATCAGGTGAATTGGAGGCCAAATGCTGTCTTACATTTTTGTATAAAAAAAAGTCCCATTGTCACCAAGAAATAAGAATCTGATGAGGGGATCCCGTGGAAATCGAAAAACCTCACCGCAGCCGGTATCTTTACAGATGCCTCAACTGATGTAGTAGCTGCAACGAATGCCGAAAGCCAGCACAAAGTTCTATAACAAAAAACACAGGAGAATCTCGAAAGCTCCGTAACTTGATCTGAGGCTCAGTTGGTAAGCACTAAGGCACAAAGAAACGTAGTGACACATTTGTGTGCGGCACTATTTAAGTGCTGTCCATGAACGGGTTAAGGAAAAGCGGTGGCCCCGTCTTGGCAACAAAATTTAAGCAATGTTTCAGAAAAACGACAAAACAGTGTGCAGTGTCTTGTTTACTTTAATGCAAAAGATGCACATTTTTGTGCGTTTTGCAATGCATTTTTAATTCAATTTAACTGCGGAATCATCAAAACACAACATGATATGTTGTAAGTTAACATTTTTGGATTGTGCGAATTCCATGTTTATGCCCTCAATGTAATGAAGCCTGCTCGTCAAACAAGGTGACACAACTTTTAGAAAACAGTAAAGTTCCCAGCGTGCAATAATCCTGCAATAATATATCCTAAGCCCTCTCCTCTGAGGTAACCCATGACCAATAGTGGGATGTGTATCACTCTTGATAATGATGAGTTTTAAATAAATTTATATCGAGTTCTTAGGTTTTCGCAACTGCTATGAGACTATTTTTTCGGATCTAGACAAAGTAAATTGTTTTTCTTTCAAACAAACCAATGATTCGATTCAATGATTAATTATTGATAATGTATATTTGAATTATGTTACTTTTATTACATATTTTCATGTTTAAAAAACTGTAATTGAAGTTAACACTTAAATTTCAAATTTTTTGTCTACGACGTAGCCGGAGCAACTAAATTGTTCGTTATTTTGAACTTGGCTTCTTTTTCAAATGCATTTTTTTGGTGACAAGTTTTATATAACTGAAGTTAATTTACAAAGCGTTTTGTGATTGCAAAGTAGAACCTAACAATCCCTAATAGCAGCACTCAAAGTACTAGGATGTATAGCCGCGAGGTTGTTTGCCTATCGACCGTCTTGAGGCACAGCACAGCAGATGCGTCTAAGTATCCGTTGACCCTTCGCGGGCTATGTGTCCCTGGTACATGCGGGTTCGTTGTATGTATATCTATAATGTTTGTATGTAGGTTATTATTATACGTATGTGTTTGTCGTCTTTATATGGGGTGGGTGGGTGCTTGACGGAATTAATTAGGGTGGCAGAAATAGTTATAAGTAGGTAGGTATCTACATGTATTATAAGGAGATTAATATATGACATAATTGTGAAAGAAGATACTTTTTAAGGTGAGCAATACTTATGAACAGCCTGTATTGCCTCCTAATCACACAACTTATGCTCATAATTGTACATGTACATTATGATAATGTCAACTGTAATGCCAAGATCATAAGGTGCATTCATGAACCAACATGCATTCTATGCTATTAATGAATG